ATAGGCTGCAGTTTCAGGACCCCCCCTGTTCTGAAGCCGCAGAACTGGGACTGTAGTTCTTTTGCGACAGTAGTGGAGTGATGGTGGTGATGCACAGCAACACAAAGGAGGTTAACCCAATCTTCTCGGACGTCGGCTACAACCCCCTCTCTAAAGGAGGCTTGACAACTGTAAAACAATGCAGCGAGAAAACAGAGTGGTTGTAAACCAGATATTTAGACATCATAGATGTAACTTTCTTATATTTCCACTAATGGAATCACAACAGACATTTGCAGGTCTGCAGGTAGAAGATTTCATTTTAAACTAACCAGTCATTACTGACTGACGGAGCTGCTGCTATGACATCATTATAATATATTATATTTAGTGAGTTGATACAGAGATCTGCCCAGCCTTGCTGTCTGTGTCCTCTCACAGTCCAAAGACAAAAAGGTTTATTAGAAACTCTACATTGTTCAGAGGTGTGATTGGTCTCTTAGTATGTGTCAGCCATGTGGCTGTGATAGATTAGTTACCTGTCCAGGTGAACCCACTTCAGTGTGATCTTGCTGTTTAAAGAGTTTCTGATGTCAGTTGTGCACAACATGGTCAGTTACTCTGTTCACCTTGTGTGACGTTTTAGAAAGAGAAAACCACAACAGTAACAGTGACACAGAAAGAGGAAGGAGGTGGGTTTTACTTGGTGTGACTGGTGACTGTATGTGCTGATCTCAGTTGACCAAGCTTTAAAATGGAGGACTCATCTGTACCGTGGCTGCTAGGTAAGTAAAACTGTACTTAAAGTGTGAATGTTTGTCTCCATGTTGTCTCAAAGATTAGTTCTAAAACATGTCTGGTATTTTTGAAAGCAGCAGCAAGTTAGAGAGTGAAAAACATAAATACAAAGACTGAATTCAGTCAAACAGCATCAACAGATTAAATACATATTAGCTACAACAACAGAGCATCATTGAACAATGAAATATACATTACAGCAAGTGTTCAGATTCAATTGTTAACAATTTGTAGCTATTCATACAATATACTACAAATAGTATTTTTTCTTTAACATAGAAGGAAAGGAAAGGTAGTTTTAAACAAAAGGTATTTACAAGGGCTGCGCAATTAATCCTCAAAATCACAATGAGGCCAAGCGCAAAGAACAAAAGGTGCAATTTTTTGATGAAGGTGAAATGTGTGACAGAACATTGTAATAATGAAGAACTTTAGTGTCGCAGAGACGCTAAAAATCCACAAGAAAACATGTTTATGTTTGCACTTTATTGTACAATAGTCTAATACGACATAAACCGTATTTTGTATCATATGAGGTCAAAACTACAGTTTTACAGCAAACGAACAGTTTGAACCTAATCGTACCTAAATTATATTGTAAATAGAAACCGCATATAATGCCAAATCAGACTCAAATTATATAAATTATTAATTATAATTTAATTTTACTCAAATTAGAAACCAAACCCAAAACACACATTGATCTAGTTAATAATAAGATGAAAGATGAAAATGGCTAATTGATCCACAGATTTGTAAATATATATATACAAATCTGTGCATCAAACACGTATTTTGAGTCTTTTTGATTGATTGTGTATAGTCTATAGTAGCAAAATACTTAAGGGCTAAAATGTGAGACTTGTGCTAAGTGTAATAGTAAATTCAAATCTGGTGTTTGGGTAAAATAATTAATTGAATTCATTTATGTTAGATATTTATTGTGTTTTTATTAGGTTTATAATTGGGTGTGTAAACTCTCCTCTACCCACTTCCTGTTTGTTGCCTACAGCATTAAAGTTTAGTATAAAAATACAGACATTCTGTGGTATTAATTCATGAATATATGAGATATGAAGTCAAGAACCTGCTACAGTTTTTAAATTTCCAAAGACTGCTTTAAAACTTCTACTTTAAATGAAGTATAAAATATTAACTCATACTCAACTGGGATCAAACAGTTTAAATTCAAAGTTTTAATATTGTTGTTTTCATGTTTTTGTTTCAAAAATGTTTCCATAAAGTTTAAATGCTTTACATGTATTTTACCATCAGTGAGATTGCTCTTACTTACCTAGCAAGGATTTAAGAAACACTGAATTTGTCCTTAAGTAAATAAAAAGTGTTCTTTCCATATCTATGTGGATGTGAGGTTTTTCTGTGCACCACAAGCAGGTTGTTCTGTGTTGTAGAAAGCACAGATGTCTTGTTTCATGTAAAACCTCAAACCAACCTGAGTGTGTTTTCTCTTTAGTTCTGACCTCACTGCTGAGCTGCACAACAAACCAAGGTGAGAAAACTTCTTGACATGCATTACATGTAACAACGTTACATATTTAGGACATTATTTGTAATATTTATCACTTAAAGTTTGCATGAAATGTAAAGTGGAGTGCTTTTTGGTTTTGTTTATGTACGTGTTTCCTGTAAAAACACAAAGCTAGGGAGGTACTGATTGGCATTACGCCCCCACCCCATCATACAGACTCTGTATGGACTGGTTCCGGCTCACAGTGAGTGAACACGGCAGCCGGGCCGGGACCGAACACAGTCTTCAAGGCCGACAGAGGCCAGTTTGACAATAGGGAATACAGTAGTGAGGTGGTTTTCTTGCCATGTTCACGGAGAGGCTGCTGAGCGTGGTTTCATTGCCCCCTCACCTGTCTCCGGTTCCCATTCAGGCGCCGCACCTCACCATAACTTTTGCTGGGTCCTCCCGGCCCTTCAGTGCCTGAGTAAAGGTGTAAACCTTTACAGCATTATACTGTTATATGTTTTTATTTTAAATTAGTATTAATTATTATTTTGTTTTTCCCTTTATATAAATAAAAAAAACATTTCCACCACAAATTGGTGCAGAAAAATTCACCACAATGCACGAAATTATGTGTAACAAACTAAAATTTCTGGGAAAGGACCACGGACCCCGGCTTAAAATATTTCCCCAACAGTGTGAAAAAGAAACCTTCACCTTTGACGTCAACTTTGAGAGTTAAATTTGAAAACATTCAGGAAACATGAAGAAAAGTTTGTCAGGTCAGATCTGAGTTTCACTCAAAGTTTGACTCAGCACCTGAAACACAGAGATCAGTTCAGCAGTGGAAATTGTAGACAGTGAGAAAGTAGGAACATGAAGAATGTGGAGAAAATCATTTTTAAAAAATGCAAATTATCTCTCTAATCACACAGTGTGTCTCTTCCTCCAGCCTCTCTGACTGTGAGTCCCAACAGCTCTCAGTTTTTCCTCAGGAAGTCTGTCTCTCTGAGCTGTGAGGAGGACGACAGCTCTGCAGGATGGACGCTGAGGAGGAACACAACCAGAGAAACCAGGACTCAGTGTGACGACTGGGGAGGAGAACCAGCTGGTTCTTCCTGTAACATCAGCTACATCCTCCCATTGGACAGTGGAGTTTACTGGTGTGAGTCCAGAGAGGGAGCAACCAGTAACACCATCAACATCACTGTCACTGGTAAGATCAGACTGTGGAGTTAGTGTTGATGAAGCTGTGTGTAAATGATGAAATGCTGTAGTTTGTCTCTGTGTTGAGGTGGACCAGTGATCCTGCAGAGTCCTGTCCTCCTGTGATGGAGGGACATGATGTCACTCTGCACTGTAAAACAGAGACCCCTCCCTCCAACCTCCCAGCTGGTTTCTATAAAGATGGCTCCCTCATCAGGACTGAGCCTACAGGTCACATGACCATCCACCATGTTAACAAGTCTGATGAAGGCCTCTACAAGTGTAACATCAGAGGTCGTGGAGAGTCTCCATCCAGCTGGATCTCTGTCACAGGTGAGGAGCTCAAAGATAATTCTCAAACTGACCTTGTTTTGTTTTGTACATTGAGTTCAGCAGGTTTCAGGACAGCAGAGATGATTCATGATGTGACAACATTTCTAACTTTGCAATCTGCAAAGAAACAAGAGTGAAAGAGTGTAACCCACCGTTTGATTTGTGGTCTTTTTAACCAGACATAGATAGTAAATTTACTTCTGGTTGCCTTTCTGTTGCCATGTTATGAGAAGCCGCCTGGGCCAAAATTAATACTTCACTTGCACATACATACTTCGTGCACATATAGAGTGACATATTTGTGTTATTTTAACGGTTGTATGTGCAGATTACACTTCATTAAAAGTCACAGAAGTCACTTGGGATTAAAGCATCAGCTAAATCAGCAAATGCCAATGTAACATGCTGATGGCGAAAAGGGTGAAGGTTTATTACAGGAGGACTAACTGCTGCATGAAGAGCAATGACACTGCCACCTGGGTCTCCCACATGAAAGGCATTATTATTCACTGTGCCACAAATAATACCCACCCACCCCTAAATCATGTATGTACATACTCTAATGGGGCACTCAGACCAATTTAAGCCACGGAACGCTTTTCCTCACGGGGGTTTTGTTGCTGGACATCTGCCAAGTGTTCATGCACAACACGGTAACACAAATAAACACAACTTTTGCAAGCTGTATGAACCCAAAGTAAACATTCTGTTTTGATTAAAAAGCAATAAACAGATTAAACTGATGCCGAAATAACTACAATATGATGCAGATTTGTTAAATATATGAATTCATGCATTATCAGGTCTGTAAGCAAGACAGCAGGACAACAACTCTTAAAATGTTTGTTTTCTGAATGCGGTGTGGATTTATAAATGTAAAATATTTTTTAAAAGCTTCTTTCTTTTCATATGTTTATTTGCAACATTTTATGCCGACATTTATAGGCTATTAATGTTTTGGGAGCAAACTGATAGTTCTGTGTAAAATCACACATTGAGCGACCCCATATGGCCAAAATGGTACGATGCTCGTTTCACAACACGTCTGTGAAGATTAAACTGTGAGACTGGCTGTTGAATCAGGCTCCTTCTATCGAATCATCAAATCCTCAACTATTCAGGGTTAAGCCAAAATTTTAATTATAATTTATTGTTCATTTTAGCAAACCCTACCACAACAGGTCCTCCATCAACCCCGTCTCCTCCTGGTTCCTCCTCTCCTCCTCTCTCTGTGTCGTGGTCTGCTGTTCTGTCTTTCTGTGTTCTGGTTCTACTGGTTCTACTGGTTCTACTGGTTCTACTGGTGAGACGGTGCAGCCACATTAAACCTAAAGGTTAGTCACAGACTCAAACAACTAAAAAGTCAAATTGTGTTTCACTTTACTGCCACACGCTGCAGTTCACATTTAAAGTCACATTTTACTGTTGATGGATTTCTATTAACACTTCTGGACGTACAAATAATAATTAGTTCATAACAAGTTACAAACCGTTTCTTTAATTCAGACGTCCATCAGGATTCTCATAAATTACATTGCTGTTGTTAAAGGAGACCTATTGTGTTTTTCCACATTTTATACGTATCTACAACGTTACAATGTTGGATGTTCATGTTAAACATGGTCAAAGCTTCAAATAATGAGGTTAAAGTCAGATTTCCTCCTGTTCTGAACGCAATGTTTTCAGCTGCTTTGTCAACCAACGTCTCGGTTCCATGACTTGTGGAGCCAGATGGAGCCCATTTTCCATATATGGTCATTTGCTCCCACAGCTGCACGCAGTCTGTCTGTAACACACCAGCAGCCTGCTAACATGCTTCAGTTCTTGGCCAATTAGACGACAGTGGGCTGTGAGAGAGGGGGGGGCCTTAAAGAGACAGGAGCATCTACAGCTTGTTTCAGACAGAAGCTGAAATGAAGGCCTATATGAAGAATAAGTATAATTTTTTCAAACTTTAAATCATACAAAGCTGCTATACAAGAGTCACAGAACTACAATATAGGACTGGAAAAGCAGTTTAATAGGTCTCCTTTAATAAAACAATCTCACCACAGGGTCCATTTAGTGAGCTGTGGAGCTTTTGATCGAATCACATGACCTTCCTTGATTTGAATCTCTGCTCCCTTTGGTTCATTCAGCTGCTGGAGAAGAATTTGGGGATGATGACATCGCAGACGACATCACATACAGTGATGTCAAAATATCACATCACCTAAAGCAGCCAATCAGACGCAGCAAAGGTAACAATGTTTTATTGATTCTGGTCTTTGTGAGGACCAATTTAAATTTTAGAACTTGAGTGGGTCAGAGTAGAAGAGGAGAAACCAGAAGTAGAAACAGAGCTGGTCAAGTTAATGTCAAACAACAGCAAAGGCAAGAGGCAGGCAGAGTTGTGAAGCTGAGGGGGTTTGGCTGGTAAGGTGGCGACGCTGGTGTTCTTAGGAGTAATCCGAAGGTTGGTTCTGGAGAGTGAACGGGCAGGCAAATCCAAGGTTGAGGGTGGAAATGGAGTTTCTAGACACATGGCCATAGCCCGCTATGAAGTCACCGAGGTCCGGTCCTCCGTAATTATATGTAGCCTGCAACCCTCAATGCAACTTGAAAAACAGTTTCCCCCATCAGCGTCCACACTTGGGGAAACACATGAGGCAAATGAAAACCTTGTGTGCTTAATAACTGACAGCACCACAGTGCAAACCGTGTTTTGGATAATAGGCTTTGTGAATTTCCAGGTGGGTGAAATAGGGTGAAGCGTCTCCCCATTAAGAGAGACACTGTGCGCATTTACACATGAGGCACAGCAGCCTAACTTCATATTTAAATCTCCCGACACGCCAACATGATCGGTCAGGCTCTAATGTTAATTAATGTTGTCATACAGAGAAACTGTTTTGGAGTAAAGCACCCATCCTCCTGATCAATCCTGAGCTTCATTAGAGCGTCTACATTATTTCAGAAGCTAAATGTTGAATTCTGTTTCCTCTACACTGTCCTGTCAGGTTTATAACTACAGTTCTTAGTTTTGCTGCATAAATGTCCCACAATATTTGCTGTGACATTAATTCTACTTTGTTTTGGTATTTTTATTAAAATATTTTGCACTGTGCAAAAAAATGCATGCATATACACTGTGCATGTCCCCGTATTTGCTTTGCAATATCTTCCAGTCTGTTTTCTTTCACCTTGTTGTCGGTCCTTGGAAAAAAATCTCTCTCTGGTTCTTCACCATTGATATTCTTTGTTTATCTTTAGTAGTACTTTCTTCTTTCATATAGTCAGAGATCAATTACTTTACGCAGCTAAAATGCTGATGTAGAGATGTTAAAAAGAATGTTCAGCAAAACAAATCAAATGTAGAATCAATCATGTTTTGTGCCCTGTGGTGAATCTGTTAAGAGACGCTAACAGAGCTGTGGTCGGTCAGACACGGCTCTGCACATTTCACTGCTGGACTGTTAATAAGGTATTCCTTTATTGACCCCCCAAAGGGGAAGTTCAACATTTACATGGTTCTTCATATTTAAAGAAAAATTTTAACTCACATTTGGATTTCACTTTTGTAAAGTTAATAATTTAGTAGTTTGTGTGACATCCTGACTTACTGACGTTGACTAATAAACTTTATAAAATGCTGTCTATGATTAATGTGTTATTTGTCCCCTATTTTAAATTTAGCAGATGTAATACATAAAGTTACGCCTTTCTCTGTGTATAAATATTGTCAGTTTGTCCCGGTGTGTAGCAGAGCAGAAAGTAAGCTACTCTGTCACGAGATAAATGAAATACCTTAACAGCAGATCAGATGTGCAGATGAGTGCAACACACACCGTTGTGCACACAGTTGTTTCTTTCTGTATACGTGTTTGGTCCATAATAGGACTGATTTCAGTTTAACTTTCTGTTGCTGCAGCAGAATATTTTTGAATGTCGTATTAATTTTGTTGTTCATTAGCACATCCCTAAACAATACTGTTTCTGATAAGAACACTTCAGGTGAAGGTGGTCCTGCACATGTTTCGATGGAGGACTAAAAATTTAAATATAAATGTGTGAAATGACATGCCTCTGTACATCCTGCTCACATACAATACAATATTTAAATATGTGGAAACTGTTGTAATCAAACAGTATTATTGATCTGTTTGTTTTAATGTAAGTAATTAAGTTTAGTTTAAGTGATTTTAAATGAAAGAGAAGACGGACTCAGCAGACTAAAAATACTTGATTGTGCATAGCATCTTTTTTTCAGCTCTGAAAAACCAACCACAGCATTAACTTCCTCCAGTTGATTCCAGTAAACTATGGCCTTACATCGGTGTCGTTTCACACTACAGTGTGCTCTGCTTTAGCTGATAGTGTTTTCTGCCTCGTGCTGAAATGTGTGAAATCCTTTTAACAGAAGCGAGCAGCTTTGTGGTCTTCTAGTTTTAAATTACTACCCTCCAGCCGTACTTGGTCTTTCACCTTTTACAGTGTTAACAAAAAGAACACTGTATCACCTGCTGCCATTTATAAAGTCTATAATGCAACTTATTATAATTCTACATGAAAAACAACGAGTTGCAGTTCTTGTAGGAGTGCAAACACTAGCAGTAAATATACTAACAGTTCTAGTATCAGCTGTAGTACCTGCAGTTATGTAATTTGAATGCATTTTAATTTCCAGAGAGTGATCCAGCTGCAGTCTACTCAGCAGTGAGAGGAACAGGAGACGTCAGTTATGGACAAATAGTTGTCAGACCACACAGGACGAGAGGTACAGCTGCTCTTTATTTACAGACAGAGTCGGGCTAGCTGTTTCCCCCTGCTCGCAGTCTTTAACATGATAGGTAGATAGGTATATTTATTTTGCCACATTAAAACAATTTATATAATGAAATGAGTTTGTAACTCCCTTCTGCTACATAGCAGACAGTATACAGTAAAATACAAGCAATAATAAAAATAAACTATCATCAGTGGAGCAGTGCTGAGGATGAATTAGAGTTTAAGAGTCTGATAGCTTAGAGGAAAAAGCTGCTCTGCAGTCTGGTGGTGCGGCACCAGAAACTTCTATATTTCTTCCCAGAATGCAGCAGGGTGAACAGGCTGTGGCTGGGTGGGTCCTGTCCTTTAGCATCCTTTTCTTGAAATCAACAATCAGATATGAGATTTCAAAGACTGATATATTATTTGATGTATGGCTTCCTCCTTGCATAATACAGTTTCAGGTTGCATGTTTTGGATGCAGCGAACTGTGTTTAGCGACAACGGTTTCCACAGTACATCCGAGCCCATGTGGCTATATGTGTCACAGAAGCATGATGGTTTATTAGGCAGTGCAGCCTGAGAGCTTGAAGGCAACGCACATTCAATGGTTTTAGACCTCGCCCTTTACACACTGAGATGTCTACAAATAGAATTCTGAATCTTTTCACAACATTATCTACTGTTGATTTTGAAAGACCTAAACTCTCAGCACTCTTGCATTGAGATACGTTCCCTTTGAACTGACTGAGACATAAGGGGCCACGACCCATCATTTCACAATCAACACAACACACCTCAAATTTCAAAACATGACGCTTATAAAGACCGAATGTCCAAACATTGTTTGTTAACTTAATCTGAACATTTTATTTTTCAGCTTGTGACGCTACACTGACTTCCTGTTATCATATCTGATTGCTCCTGTTTGGACAGCGCCACAGGTGTTTCCTAGCAACAGATTCAGATCCCTGAAGTCTTTACCAGCTGAGACATTTATTACGCTTTACTGGTGCGACCTGATTCAGTGAATCTCTAGTTTGAAACTCTTGTTAGTTCCTGAGAACTGAGTGAAGCAGAGTTGTTGTCTGGTGACGGAGTTTCTTTGTCTCCAACAGTTTCTCATGTTGTTTGAACTGTTTGTGTTTGTGTGTTCAGAGTTTCCAGCAGAGCCAGAGGTCGTCTACTCTTCACTGAGGTAGACCTTCACACCTTCACACCAGTCCAACCACTGATGTCCAGCTGGCCTGGAACTGGTCCCCAGAGCCCCTCACACCTCAGCACATCCATTTATTAGATTTCACTGTTAAAGCTAAATTAGACTAAATATATATAAATGGTGTAAAATCAGTCACACAAAAAATGGTTAAAAAGCTTTTTTTTAAGTTACTCATGCTTTTTTTTTTACCCTGTAAGTGTTTCAGTACGGTGCTGATCACAGACTTGTTGTTTTGTGGATAATATAATAACAAACTTTACGTTTGTTTATATTTTATTCATGTTCGTTGGTTTCTTGTTGCTGCAGCAACATGTTTCTCTACAGGATCAATAAACTTTGGTCTCGTTCTTGTTTGTCTCCTGTGGTTCTGTTGGTTTCACAAAGCTGTCGAATGGAAAATGTGAAATGAATTCACCGATACACACTTCTCGTTGGATAACTAAAAATAAACAAAGCTGCAACCGCAGACTCTGAACAGCATGAACACAATTCAGCTTCAGTACAGAGCTCGGCGCAGCTTGTTAACAGAGTGAGGAGCTTTGTAGCTGGTGATCTGTCTGAGCTCCACAGAACCAGAGTCATTGAGAAATGATGCTGTAGTCAGTCTCTCTATGGTGGTTTAGCTTCACACACCGCCTTGCTGCCTTGCTAAACCTGCCCTGTCTCCACTCCTAAACGTCTTTTTCTTTTCCAACCTTAGCTGAGTTTAGCTGTGAACCAGGGTTTGTCTCCCTCTGGTGTGTAGAGATACACAGGACTCCTCACAGACACTGATGTAGGACGTCAGCCTGTGTGAACTCATCCAGACAGTTAGTAGCAGTCCTGAAAACATCCCAGTCACTACAGTCCAAGCGCACTCGAACGTCCTCCATAGATCACTGGTCCACTTCTTTAAAGTCTTCAGAACAGATTTACAGTACTTTAATTTCAGCCTGTGGTCGTGGAAAATTGTGGTTTTCCTGGTGAGGGATAGAACAAATAATTGAGTTACAACAACTGTTGTGTTTTAAGAATTTATTAATAAGAGAATAAACAGAGTAGGACTACTCCAACACAAAGACCAGAGGTTCTGTCTCCTTTGGTCCAATATCTGAGGTTCGAGGAAGCCCGATTCCAGGATAGTGACCGTTGCTACGGTGTGGTATTTGTCCCGCCCCTCCTCTACTGTGATTGGACAGCTGAGTAAAAAAGTGACAATGACGAGCACAACGTTTTTCCCAAAGTTGAACATTTTTCAACTCTTGCTCATCGCCCGGCGCCGTCAGAAAAAAACGCTTTGGTGGACACGGGCCCTAAGTAGCTACTGCCATCATTGTGTCACAGTCTAAGATGCAAAGAACATTGTCGTCTAGTGTAAACTCCAGCAAAAAGCTTTCAACCGCAAACAATTCTACATCTGATTTATTGAAGCATCTGCTGAAGCAGCACAGCAACGTGAAACTTACAGAAAGCAACTGCAGCAGCTGCTGTCACTGATGCTTGGACTAATCGGGAGAGAGTGGCGTTAACGCAACATTTTGTAACTATAATACTGCTCTCATAAACAGGCTAAATGTGCAGTAAACCCGCTGTTAAAAAGTCAGGATTTACTCACTTTATTTTTTTATTTCAGCCGGTGGCGTTAAGTAACATTAGGCCTTGGCTCTATGCTCTAAGCTCTGTAAAAACCACACTCCTTGCTGCTGTTATGGATATGATGTTAGTTAAAAAGTCGGGGGAGACTGTTATGAATCTTTAAGGACAACCCAGATTAATTTTATAATCCAGTGTCGGGTCGGAAATAAGGACCGGCCGGGCCAGTAAAAGACCTGGTCCCTACCCTAACCAACGTAATAAACTCAATAAAATTACTCTATTAGATTTCTTCTTTAGTCAAAAGACGGCGTAGTCAAAAACTTCACTGGAGACGGTCAAGAGTCGGTGCAAAAGAGTTTATTCCAATAAAGGACCGATAAACCCGAGCAACATCCCTGCAGGTCTCAGGATGGAACCGAGTTGGTGGTCAGCGAACATCGCCTTATATTCACCTTAAGCTCCACCTTGTCCCTCCCTTCAGGTGGGCGTTACATCTTAACTCCTCCTTATCTCCTCCTTCTAGGTGGGCGTTACTCCTTAACTCCACCTATGGTGTTCGCTGACCATTCCTCCCTTTTGGTGGATTTCTTATCCTCTACTGCCATCTAGTGGCCTTTTTCTTGTACTGTTTTACCAAATTAACCCTTTCATTGATGTTACAATTTCCACTTTTTAGCTGTTATTATATGTAATTATTGTTACCATTTATCTCTCTTTATATTTTTTACATTACTGGATTAGAAAATCCACCAATATGTTTCAACTTCAGTCCCACCGTATTTTTTAAAAGTTATACAGGCATAGTTTGACACCATTAAAACTTAAACACTTACAATCGTATTTTTTAAAAGAATTAATAAGGAATAACATATTTCATACATATATAACGTGATTCAGTGAACAATTACATGATTTAGCAATGCCAACCATGAGGGTGCTTTGTCTCATACAAGTTAACTTTCAGCAGCGCAGAGCTTGGTTGCATGCAGTACCTAGCCGTACCAGTTGCCATAAATCACAACATGTCATGATCTCATTCTTGGCTTCAGTTCGCGATGATCTCAGCCCTGGCGTACGTGACTTTCTGCATGTGCCTTGCTTCTAATGAGTGGGTTACGGTTGGCTAGGTTTTGCCTGCGCGGCCTGAGCAGCTTCTCTGCTCATGTAGGCACATTAAAAAGCACACGTTCACAGAGAATAAGAATAATATATGATAAACACACAGCGTATAAGAATAAAATATGAGTTTGAACACACTCATTAAACACTCAGTAGTTAAACACTCAGTAGTTAAACTTTACACTATAAAATAACACTTTAAATGATGACGATGTAGACCACCATTGCTCTAGTAATTAATGATAACAATTTAGGCTATAATGCTCCAAAATAATTCACAACACTCCCTCCTCTGAGGCTGTAAAGCCTCACACTTCATAAACCAACACTGTGACCACTGAAAATAGGCGGCCTATTGTATTTGCATATGAAACCTATTTCTCAGACTTGTAGACCTTCAAGAAAATACCCAAATTAGTGTTTACACGTTGTGAAATAATCAATAATCATGTGGTGGGATGTTCCTGTTTCTAACACATTTGAGCAAGTTATAATGACAAGGATTTCCATTACTCCTCTCTCCTTATTACCCTTTAAATGAGTTTCCCTTTAAATGAGCTTAACATATTAAACTACCTATACGTGCTATAATATAGTGAGATATACCTTGTAAATGGTTTACACTTGTGAAACAAATAATATCTTATGCAGTGAGCTGTTCTTTTCTTATATACTTTAGCAAGCTAACAATTATAACAACACCTAATGTGTTGAAAGGCACACATCAAAACAATCACATGGTGCATAGTGAACTTTCCAGACATAAGAGTGTTTCAACAATCATTCATGTGACACTTCAGAATGGTGCAAAATGTCTGATAAACATGTATGATGTCTATTTTGAAAGTTTAGTCCGTGGTACTGTGGAACTCTTTTTTGGCACTCAGGTTTCTTGGGGAACAGACTGGGTACCAATTTGAGGGTGCTCAGTCGTTTGTAGTTTCAGTCTTGTTCTTCCTTTTGCTGGTTCACTTGGACTCATAGCTGGTGATAGTCAAAGTCGTCTCTGTGGTGATGCAGGTCGCGCTTGATCTTGCCTGCTGCTGCGTCTGCCTCACGAGGCCTCATAGGAGAGTGGCCTCCTCTGGTCTTTGACTGGCTGTGAAAGATTATTAAGCTTGCTTGCAACTGTATCTTACTCTTACCAATAAGTGAGCTTTATCCTACTGTTTGTAGTTTGGAGACTTTAACTATTGTTTCTATCTGTCTAATTTTTTCAACATGAGTTTGCTTCCTAGATATTATATTTGCTTGCAATTTAACCCCTCTAACATCCTGTATATCTGTGTATTGAATTACATTGCTATTGGATGTACAAATAGCAAATCTTGAAACACTCCATTATTCATTAGTGCACTACAATTCTTCCATACTTCAAACTAGTTTACTAATACTACCTACAGAAACAGGAAGAAAACATAGATTAACACAGATGTTCAACAAAAACAGAAAGAAAACATAAATGAACTCAGGTGTTCAGCATCACACATGTGTCTCAGGTTATCATTACAGTTGCTTGGTTGTTCCTGTGGAATACATGACAAAGGTCAGTCATGATTTGATACTCACAATCATCAAATTTAAGCATGCAGTAGCAATGTGCTGCTAAAATTGCTTTATAAGGCTTCAATGAGGCTTCTCCTTTCGGCCTCTTTAAAATCAAGCCTGAAAGGTTGCCTGTCATTGTATCTGCTACATCGAGGAGCTCTGCGCTGGCTGTTCCTCTGCACAAATCCAGAGCAGACAGTGATATCTAACAATTATAATATAAAAATAATCCCACTAGATTCCCTTTTTCTAAAAACTCTGTTTAAAAACACAAGGAATGCCTGATGTTCTGATCCCTTTTTGCTGAAATTTAGTAACAGGTGGCTGCTGGAGGAGAGCAGGACACCAAAGTTATTAACTCAGTATATTTGTGTTAATGAATCAATTATTAATGACATATCTTGCTATTTTATAGATCCTGAGCTAACCTTATTCTTATTCCTAGTCTATTTTGGATTTAAAATCAGTCTCTATTTTCTTTTTTCTTCCCCTATCTTTCTATTTTTTCTTCTCCTACAAATTATCAACACTCCTACTCCCAAACTCTTTTGAGGTCAGTCTTCAAACAGTTCTTTTTCAGCAGATGTTGCAGTTTTCAAGGCCTCTGATAGTCTGACCATTTGTAATGTTGATCATGTGAGACAGAGAGCTCTTCCTTGGTGATGTCTCTGTCAGCACTCGGTCACATGTGAGAGCATTTTGGCTGAAGTTCATTTTCACAGTGAAGCCTTCTTGACCTTTTAAACTTTGTGCTGTTAGGTTCACAGTCTTTAAGGTGGTGTTGTCCTCTTTATGATTTGACTGTAGATGGTAGATGTGGTCTGACTCGCTATGTCCTCAGCGTTGGGAAGATGCTGACGTCAGTGGAGGTGGGCTTGGGCCTGTGATGCATCAGGTTGGCACGCCTCTCTGTGGAACGCCTCCTGTATCACTGTTCGTTTGTGGCCCTCCCTTTCTTCCTCACAGTCAGATTCTGCTGTGTCCATTTTGAAGCTGCTCTCTCGCCTTCTTCATGAAACTTCAGAGCTGCCATCTTGTCCATTGTAGCTCTGTCTCGCTGTCGTCATGTCTCATGGTTTGTTGTGCTCTGCAGGTATCTTGGTCT